GAGAATTTAGGTGCGAAGGATTGGCAACACTGGTTCTCACTCAGCTTAGTTTAAAGAAGGTTTCACTTCTACCGGGTGTGAACTACACAGGTTTTTTTTTTTAGGTACAAATTAGAGAAATGTATTTATTTAAATACAAATAAATACAAAAATACATGCGTAAATACATTTAAATCAAATAAATACATTTAAATACAAATAAATATAAATAAATAGAATTAGATACGGATAAATAGATTGAAATACAAATAAATCTTCAATTTTCCCCCGAAATTTTGGGTAAAATACAGGGAATCGTTCAGAAATCGAGTATTGACGTGCCCAGAGAGCGCCCAAATTATCCCATTAGGGACTGGGATTGAAAAACGCCCCGCGGTTTTTAACGGATTTGACGTTGACATTAACTGCAACGCCCAAAACGTTCAGAAATACCGCACCCAGAGTGCATTCCAAGTGATGACGTCAAAACACTCTGACACAAACAACTACTCTACGTTCACACTCCATTTCTAAATGCACTCCAGCGCGTCCTGCCGACCCGACTATAGACAAGCGTGAACAAGTTTTTTTTCACTGATCGCACTCGTTAATAAATGCGATAATTTATTATTGAATTTAATGGTAAATTATTTGTGGAGCCAGTGGAAAATATAATATAGTTGCGAGGTCATAACTTTTTTTCTATTATAGATATAAAGCTGAAATTTATCTCAATATAGGGACTACAATCCCTGAAAATTTCAGCTCATTTGGACTTATAGTTCCCAAGATAAAATCGTGTTAAGCAGTTTGGGGTGATTTATCAATTTTTAAATTTTTCTGAGTGCCTTTTTTCATAGAATCTGGCTCCAAATCTGAGAATAAGTTAGTTTATGGAGTTTGGAGGATCCCATTTCGATACAAAGTCTAGGTAGCTACCTTATGATTTAGATTTTGGAAAATTTTGACCCCAATAGAGGACTCGGTAGAGGACTATAATCCCTGAAAATTTCAACTCATTTCATTTGGATGTATAGTTCCTGAGATAAAATCGTGTTAAGCAGTTTGGGGTGATTTATCAATTTTTAAATTTTTCTGAGTGCCTTTTTTCATAGAATCTGGCTCCAAATCTGAGAATAAGTTAGTTTATGGAGTTTGGAGGATCCCATTTCGATACAAAGTCTAGGTAGCTACCTTATGATTTAGATTTTGGAAAATTTTGACCCCAATAGAGGACTCGGTAGAGGACTATAATCCCTGAAAATTTCAACTCATTTCATTTGGATGTATAGTTCCTGAGATAAAATCGTGTTAAGCAATTTAGGATGATTTATCAATTTTTCTGAGTGCCTTTTTTCATAGAATCTGGCTCCAAATCTCCGAATAATTCAGTGTATGGAGTTCGGGAGATCTCAAAGGACCATTAAGCAAGACACAAAATCTCAACAAAAAAAAAATTAAATTTTATCGTTTTAGTAAGAACTTCTTACTAAGAAGAGTTGATGAACTGCTCATAAATAAGAACTTCAAAATAATTAAGAAAAACATAGTATTGTAAGATGTATTTTCCATAGCACTGTTAATTTTTGGTACTTATAAATTACAATAAATACCTATAAATATAAATAAATACATTTAAATACATTCAAATACAAAAAAAATATGAATTAATACATTTAAATATAAAAAAATATGTTTAAATACATTTAAGTAACTTTGAATATTTTGAAATACTTTTAAATACAATTTAAGAAGTAAATACATTTAAATACAGCAAATACTAACATATTTATTTGTATTTATAAATAGGTGTACAAATTTTAATGAGTGACCCTCCCCTCGGTGAGGTGTCAATATATTTAAAAAAAAAAACACCCTGTATTTACCTATTTGAAACCACCCAAGTAGCACATACATGTCCCAACGACTACGTATCAAACAAATACAACGTCGCCAGGAGTGCAGATAAGTGACCGTCAATGATTTTTAGTTAAAATTATATCGTACCGTCCTCCTTAATATGTGTTCAAGAAATCGGACCTTTATCTAGCTCACTTTTGACGTAATAAATGATAACCAGTTTTAACGTTAAATTGATGACGTCAATCCGTCGTCTTCTTGTATACTTGTGACCTCTGAAACGTTTTTTAAACGTCGTGTAATACGACCAATCATAAGGTAAAATAAAAATCGTAAAATGGACGTCATAATATTGTACCAAATTCAACGTTGCATTGGTGACGTCAATCCGTCGTTATCTTTATATCCTGTGACCTCTGAAACGTTTTAAAAACGTCTTCTGACACGACCAATCATAAAGGTCAGATAGTAAGTAGTCTTAGAAAAACGTTGAAATTGGACACAGGCGTTGATGCAGGTAAAATTTGGTGTAGCATTTCATACTTTTTGCGTCGTTAGTTAATAAACTGTCATCAGTTAAATAAAAACATAAACAAACGATAGATATGACGTTACTATGAAAAGTTTTTAGCAATTTGAATAAGTATTTACTTATTACATCCACATATTACAGAAGAAGAATAAGATTTTTAGATTTAGTGAAAAGAGAAAAATGTATTTTAAACATGAAGAAAATGGAGCAAGACGGGAAATTGGAAGGGAAAGGGAATAACCCTGTCATTTCCAATTAGGAAACTAAAAAAGATTCAATAAATGTCGGATTAAAAGGAAACTTTTCAAGATTTCGATCAACATCAAAAATAAAATATTTACAGTTTCCTGAAAAATGTCAAATAAATGAGAGCGTTGTAGCACCTAAAGAACTGGTTACGATAGGTTACCATATGGGACCTATAGTCAATCTTAGGTTTATATGTTTGTACAATTTTATTACCTATGGTCCTATGTGGATAGTGGATATAAAGTCCATTTTCATGACGAAAACACGCATTAAGTTAGATTATTAACTCGACATTTTATACATCGCAAGGTCCTATCTAATCATCCGCCATTGCTGCACGTTTAATGAAAATAAAATAATATCTGAAAAATCAATCCTTAATAAGGAAATTTTGTCAAAATTATTTATTTATGTGTAAATCGGACTTGCCCAAAGATGTTTTTGACCCATCTGATGAACTATGTAAGAAGTTATGTAAATTACACATTTTTTTTTTCTTTTTTTTTTGGATAATATTGAAAAAATAGGAGTCTGTTTGTTTTGTGTGCATTTCATAATTATATTTGACAGAAAAGTTGACTTCGTTTGAAAAATTTTGTGCCTAAAGGGGCTAAATATTTAGTTTCACGTATTTTATTGTTGATAAGACCAGGCGCCATTATTATTTTATGTCCCCCAATATTCTTATAGGTACCTATTCATTTTGTTATTAATGTGATGAGATGGGAAATAAAATAATACCAATAATAAACCAAAAGTGCGAATTTGGTGCAATATATTAAACCTGGAACGTCCTTTATTTGGTTTGGTAGGTATTTGTTTTTAGGTTAGTCATGGTTTACGACGTATAGTAAACGTTCAAATCTGGTTGTGTATGCTGACGTATAAGTTAAAAATTAGTAAAGCCTCGCGACCTGCGACATTGCTACAACCATGAAATGATTCTCCATTTTGGTGAAAATAAGGGTTGTATAGTCGTCTATTTGACGTCGCGCCTTAACGTCAAGACATCAATGACGACGTCGTTAGGACGTAAAAGCGCTGCTTGGGCACCTTATTCTCCTAAATAGTTCCCCCATTCCCATATTTTTATGGGTCATTCCTTCCAAAAACCGTATCTTGCACAATGCGTTGCCAAAACTAACCCAAACTAACCCAGTCTGGCTTATTTTAATTTAAACTGCCCCCCCCCCCTTTTCAAAAGGCTTCAGATCCGCATCTGACAGGGTGTTTCCTAAGTATGGTTCATAACTTCAGGATGTGATATATTACAATATTAAAAAAAAGCTAATTGGATTCTTATTTCAAATTTTCAAACTTCAATATCTTGAAATCCGTGACAGATATTGAATCAAATTTTTCAGAAATTGTAGGTTCTTTTAGGCTCTACAAAAACCTGTATTAGAAAATATTTTCAGGTTTACAGTTTCCGAGAAAATTGGGTTTGAAATTTTTTGACTAAAATTTAACAATTCCTCGGAAAGTTTTCGAGCTATCAAACTCAGTTTAGTACAGATTTATCGAGAATATAATGCTTTTATCATCAGTCATTCACCCATTAATTGCAATGAATAACTAAATACCTACTTATACGTGGTAATCAATTCATAAATGGATTACGTGCTTAAAAATTTTCTGTTTTATCTTTTTACGATGCTTTTCAAAATTGCAAATTTTCCAGTTCACATAAATTGCAAATTACATATTTATTTTACGATTCTACATTTTTGACTGAGAATTTCATACATCTGTCAAAACTGGTATTTCAACAATAAATTGATATGTTTTGATTGTTGATTTGAACCAATCAGATTGTAATTACGTGATAATTTGCACTAGTGCAAATTATCAGATAATTGCATACTAACTGGTGCGAAAACTGGTGTTTTGACATTTTTTTGACAAAAAATTTAAATTTTTGATTTATGAAATTCTCTCATTAAATACAACTCGTGCAATGGAAATATATTTATAATTTTCGACAAATTTGCACTCATGCGTTTTTAACTGCATTCAGGCAAATTTCCCAAAAATTATCAATAATTTCCATTGCACTAGTTATATTACTATTGATAATTTTTCTTGTCTTCAATTCAATTTTTTGAAACTATTAATCATAGAACACAACAATGATATAGGGAGATTGAAATTTTAATGTGTTTTTAATCGTTTTTGCATCAAACAATTCGGCAATTTTCGTTTAATGGCCAATAATAATTGCTATTAGATAATCTCTATTTTGATTTGTCTGTATATAAACAATAGCTGACCTTCTTCAAAAACGGTTTTTTATTGCTTTTGCGAATGATTAATCATCATCAATAATTATTTTAATGATCCAATAATTTGCAACTTAAAAAAAAAAATACACTTGACTTACCCTAGAATGAAATCCTAAAAAACTCAGTTTCCTCAAGTTATTTATCTCGGAAGTCTTCAAGTTCTTATGGTCATCATCCATTTTAACTTAAACAAAATAGTCTAAAAATCACTCGAAATTTTTTGGAGACAGAAAACAGATTTTTTTCCTTGGAGATCGTCCCAATCGCGTAATGGCGAACAAAACTTGAAAAAACATGGGATAAGTCAACGCGGACGAAGACGACGTTTCGGCTTTTTTCCAACCAGCAGCAGGCCGGTGAATTTTTCGACTTTTCGCACCCGTTTTCGGTTCTTCTAAGTAATCAATCTGATCTGTAATGTAATAAACATTGACTTTATTAAAAAAAATCATATTATTTGCATCAGTGAAGCGTTAATAAAGTAAATGAAACGACAAATTGGGACAGGATGTTTTATATGGGAGATTGAATTTGAGATATTTAAAACAGAATTTTTATTATCTTACCAACTACACTAACTAACTTAAGAAAAAAATAATTGATTTATTTGACAACATAATTACTTTTGAAACAATAAATTAAACGAAACGGTTAAATACGAAGTAAATTTTTAATAAAATTTGTAATGTCGCTGGCTCGATATAAACCTTTTCATTATAAAGGCCAAGGTACCTATAAATCACCTATTGATTTATACCATTTCTAGATTAATAATAGAAAATGTTATAGTGCAGGTTAATTGTGAAAAATTAAAAGCGAATATGTAATATTGTTTTGTTGCATAATTGCTTTTCAAAAATCTAATACATAGTCCCTATAATAAATTATACGCACATTTTTCTAATCAATAAGAAACCAGACTATTGTCTAATACCATATAATTGCGCAATCCAATTCTTAATCCCCCATATCTATACTCTCATAAATAATATAATGATAAAATTTCATATAATCAGAAAACTTTTTATTAGAAATTGATCCCCTAAAGCTTAAAACTTATAAATGATAAAACATTTTTTTTTTATAGTGGGTGTTATCATATAAAATCAATGTTAAATTGTGTCTGAGCCAATGATAAGATAGGACAAAACATATTTTTTAAAAGATAAAAAAATAATCCTTTTTTTAATTGAGTTTTTTTTACAATGGGTTTATTATTATGCGCGTGATTTTTTAATTAGTTGGCACTTATTGCAAAGTAATCGCTATCAAGAATCAAGACTAAATGATTAATCTATGATTTATTTTTTTAACAAGGTAGATATTTCGAAATATTTAAATGATTTATATTATGTATCTACCTTGTGATGATGAATGTGTCGATATATTTTATCAAAGCTTGCTAAATTTATAGCTTTTTTTAAAACAAAGTATTTGGTAAATCAACATATTTGAAACAAAGCAAATTTTAATATTGAAATAGAAAAGGCACTCAGAAAAATTGAAAAATTGATAAATCATCCCAAATTGCTTAACACGAGTTTATTTTTGGAACTATAAGTCCAAGAGCTGAAATTTTCAGGGATTGTAATCCTCTGCTTGAATAAAAATCGCTGAAAATTTCAGCTTTCTATCTTCACTAGAAAAAAAGTTATAACCTTTCAAAGTTTTCCAAAATTTAAATCACAAGGTAACTTCTTATTAAAACGATGAAATTTCAGTTTTTTTTTTTGAGATTTTGTGTCCCAATGGTCATATGGGATCCCCCAAAGTCCATACACTAAATCATTCTCAGATTTGAAGCCGATAAATCACCCCAATTGCTTAACAAGCTTTTATCTCAGGAACTATAAGTCCAAATAAGTTGAAATTTTTATTTTATTAAATTTACCTTATGATTTAGATTTTCGAAAACTTTGAAAGGTCATAACTTTTTTTCTATTATAGATAGAAAGCTGAAACTTTCACTGAATTTTATCCCAATCAAGGGACTACAATCTCTGAAAATTTCAGCTCATTTGCACTTATAGTTCCTGAGATAAAATCGTGTTAAGAAATTTGGGGTGATTTATCAATTTTTCAATTTTTCTGAGTGCCTTTTTTCATAGATTTCGGCTTCAAATCTGAGAATAATTTAGTGTATGTAGTTTGGGGTATGTTGATTGACCATTAGGATACAAAATCTCGGCAAAAAAAAATTTGAAATTTCATCGTTTTAGCAAGAAGGTAGCTACCTTATAATTTAGATTTTGGAAAACTTTGAAAAGTCATAACTTTTTTTCTATTATAGATAGAAAGCTAAAACTTTCACTGAATTCCATCCCAATCAAGGGACTACAATCTCTGAAAATTTCAGCTCATTTGCACTTATAGTTCCTGAGATAAAATCGTGTCAAGAAATTTGGAGTGATTTATCAATTTTTCAATTTTTCTGAGTGCCTTTTTTCATAGATTTCGGCTTCAAAGCCTGACTTTTATTCCCTGGTTGTTCAGTTGTGTAAATATCTGCCAACGCATGTAGAAATTTCATTGGCACCAATTTTACTTATAATTTCCGACCAAAAGAAGCAGTAGCACTCTCTATTGCCTTTATTATGAATAGTGAAGGTAAATACCGACAAACGACGACGCTATTACAATGCATTTTATTGACTTATAGGTAACTGAATAACTTGTTGCACGTCAAAAATAGCAGCAACTATTAAATCTGGATTGTTTTTGAACATTTTCTTAGCATCCTCTTTCTTTTTGCGCACAGTATTTTTCTCAGCGACATGTGCAGTGTATGCATCTTGAAGCTCTAATTCTTTATTTGCATCACCTGCCCTGCACCACAAACAAAGTCTGCATTGGTCCTTCCTGGAATGGTGGAAGGACAGATTCAGTGATTTAAATACTCTACAGTAAGTATGGTAGCTGCATTTTGGCTGCTCCAAGCTCTCTTCTTAGTACAAGTTGAACATTTTCTTCACGTTTAAGTCGGGAGGTAAATATTCTTTTGAAGTCGATTTTCTACAATAGTGCGTCTCCATTTTTGGGAACTTTTGTATGTGAGCCAGAGCTGAGGCTCTCATAAATTCATCGAATGCCTTCCACCGTGCTTTTGCGCTTATTGCCATCCGAACTGCTTTTTCGGAAACTGCCAGTGTGTTCTGAAACGTAATTTTACAAACTGGTAATGCCCTTTGGTAACCAATAAGCCAAAGTCCTTGTTCTTCTGAACTCTCTTGCAGCAGTTCTTCTCCTTTTAACATCATTCTCATTGATATGACGTACAATGAACTCCCTTTATAAGTGGAGACTCTTTGTATTGTAGAAAGCATGAAATATTTTCTGGCGTTCTTCCTCAGCAAACAATTTGCAGCCCTCATTTTTATATTTTTGAGAATCACATCGCGGCTTCATGATTCTTTGCGGAACTTGCTTTTTCAAAAAGGGACTCACGTATGCTTTTCCTTCTGTTCTTAGGGTGCATGCCCTCTTTTTCATGTTGTTTTTATACTACTGATAGCTTAACTATACAACGATACCACTGCAATGAAAGGCAGACTCAAACTCTCAATATCTTCACTTTCAACAGGAAAATGTAGAAAACCTTGCAGGGTTAATACCACAGGAAGCGACTGAAATGATTATGAATGAATTTCTGCAGCTAAACATTATTAGTTGGAAATCTGACAAAAAGGCGTAAACCCGTTTTTGGGATATACGCCTTTTTAGTAAGATCCTGCGGTTACTTTTAATGTCGCTTCCGCCCGTACCAACCACGTTCTAATGGAGAAAGTATTACTTATACAGATGCGCCCGTTGGTCAGATCATATACATACTCCATGGAGATATTTTCATGGAATAATCTGTATTTTAGAAATATTGTCGCTTACGCCCATTTCTCAGAAAAGCGACGAATTATGTTCCATAATTATTTCGTCTTATATGTAAAATATTTTGCAGGAAAAACAATATATAGATAAAAATGACCACTATTTTGCATATATTTAAAATAAAAAATAATATTTATATCGAATTTAGCAGCATGCAAAGTTCGATATATATAAAAAAACTTTGAAAAAATAAATATATTGAATTTGGCCCCATGCAAAATTCAATATTTATAAAACTTGAAAAAATAATATATATATATATCGAATTTGGCACCGTGCAAAGTTCGATATATATAAAACTTTGAAAAAATATATGTATTGAATTTGACCCATGCAAAATTCAATATTTATAAAATATGAAAAAATATTATATATATTGAATTTGGCATTGTGCAAAGTTCGATATAAAACTTTTTAGTTTGAAAAGTCCCCGAGAGATGGCGCTACCTTTGATCATAATTTTTGTTTGTGTATGGTGTGTTGGATTGAAATAAGGTATTTTGGACGGCCGTTGATTTGTAATTTAAATAGCTGCAATTAGGGTGCATTGATAATTACGTGATGATAATTATGTATTGTCATAAGCGCGGCAACGGCAACACTGGTGAATGATAACTGAGGTTGTGTTGTGTTCCTTTCCTTCTGTTTGAGTGCCCGCCGCGCTCGCGTACCGCCTAAAGTTTGTTTTTTATTTAAAGATAATTCCCCAATCAGAAAATTTACAAGGCGTATTTTAGCGACCAGTAAACATCATACTACACATACTACGATTCATGACGTCATAGTTACCCAAATAACATGTGGAGTGTATTTGACAAAGGGTCTAAAAGAGGACGCCATGATCGTTGTTTATTTGGGTTTGTTGAATTTTGCAAAATTTTGCGTTTTCGAGTTTCAATATTATTTCTCCAGTGAAGATTTTCGATAGATTGTCGTATTTTTGAATTTTATAGGGACCCCATGCCAAAAAAATAAATAAATAAAATTACACTTTTGTGCACAAATGAAGATTTTTTTTTTTTTGCAAAAAACCTAAAAAAAAAAACCTCTAAAATAAAATCATAGAAAACCATAGCAAAATGGGGAAAAACAATCCCCTATTTATAATTGAAAGAACAAAGTGTTGGTAATCGTAGCGTAGTCAGCTGATATTTTGCCCATATGCTCATTTTCGTGTATTAGAAAAAGATGCACTGACATACTACAACCAGCGTTGCCACCTCACGAAAATTAAATGTAATAGATTGAAGCCAAAATTGTAATAGATTTGACTTTTTGGTAATAGATTCTTTCACCTGTCAGTTATGCATGTCAGATGACCAAAATATTAGGCAATTTTTCGCGAGGAATGCAAGGAAAATCAAGCATAGTCTGATTATGCTGGGTTATGTGATGTGTCAATTGTGTCACAGAACCCTAAAGCTACATCCACAATTAATCTGCTAGCGAAGTGGCACTTTGGCACGCGTGCTGAGAAATTGACCTTTTATTTGGAGGCCATATTGCGGTGCGCGAACATAGTTGCCAAAAGTAGACAAAAAAAATCCCTAGCGTAATGTCAACATTAAAAACAAAAGTTACTGCGTTACTGGATAAATTCCATTTAAAATTTAAATTTGCCGCCTATTACGAATGTCTTCGAAAAGAAAAACCATCAATTTTGACTTGTATCGGACAGAATAGAAATAATAAAATATCTACCTATTCACTTTACCAAATTTCGGTTTCCTTTCTCAACCTTAGTACTCATAACCGCGAAATTCGCTCTTTTTGACATTACTTCGACAATTTGACGTTTTGTGCGTGGATAAAACGTCAAATTGTCGAAGCAATGTCAAAAAATAGCGAATTTCGCGGTTATGAGTACTAGGCTTTATTGTTTATAGAATCAGAGAGAGAAAGTAAACAAACAAAAAGGATAGCGAGGATCAATCATTTATGGCGATTTGCATTTGTCAGTCAGTGCGCACTGCGTGTATCCGCATCTTTTTCTGAAAGCATATAACATGTAAGGATAAGGATACATTTTTTTTGCACCGGTTTGACAAATGGAAATCGCTATTAGTTACTTTTGTTTTCAATGTTGACAGCCCGCTAGTAATTTTTGTTTTCTTCTTTTGGCAACTATGTTCGCGCACCGCAATATGGCGTCCAAACAAAAGGTCAAATTGATTGATACCCATCCTCAATGCTGTCAATTTTCAGTCTGCTCTACGTGTAGTACGATCACGAACCATACGTTCCGTATTTTGATCGGAGTTCTCTGAGCATAAATTTATCGTTCGTTTATTCAAAAAATGTACTCGGTGTAGGCTCATTCACGTTAGTTTATTAAAATTTCGAGCCCTCTGATACAGCGTTTAACTGCTCTGTGCGCTTGCTGGTCGCGTGATTACAGCTCCGCTCTGCTCTTCGAGCAAAATACCGAACGCAAGGATAACCTAAATTAATTTTTAAACGTACTGCGCATGACATAAGTCGGCACGCATCGAAAAAGCTGGCAGCTTGCAAACTTCACTTCGGAGTCGACGTGCATGCCAGCACGGAATTGACCTTTTGTTTGGATGCCATATTGCGGTACGCGAACATAGTTGCCAAAAGAAGAAAACAAAAATTAATAGCGGGCTGTCAAAATAAAAATAAAAATAACATGATTGATCCTCGCTATCCTTTTTGTTTGTTTACTCGAGGTTTACTTCCTTTCTCTGATTCTATAAACGAACAAACTTAACCTAGGTAACCGAAATTTGGTAAAGTAAATAGGTAGATATTTTATTATTTCTATTCTGCCCAATACAAAATTGATGACTTTTCTTTTCAACAACATTCGTAATAGGCGGCAAATTTAAATTTTAAATATAATTTATTCAGTAACTTTTGTTTTTAAAGTGGACAGTACGCTAGTAATTTTTTTATTCTACTGTTGGCAACTATGTTCGCGCACCGCAATATGGCGTCCAAACAAAAGGTCAATTGAATTGAGGATGCCAACGTTAAACAACATTTTCCAAGCTTGCGTGCCGAAGTGCCACTTCGCTACTAAATTGATTGAGGATGAGCCTTAACTTCGTCACCAAATTTTTATAGTGATGACGTCACTCGCAGACCTCGACGGAATGCTTGCGATTCAGGCTGTGCTAGTGTTTCGTGGATTTTAAATGTTGAAAAGGTAAATTTGGGTCTGTCCTCACAGAAGGAATTAAGCGTTTTTGATCCTTGAGTATTCCAAAATTTCATGGTAGGGGAGTATGACAAAATGGACACATCACATAATCCAGCAAAAGATCATGCTTGATTATTCTCGCGAAAAATTGCCTATTGAATAGGCACTTTTTTTTCATCAATCTCACCATTGTACGCCGTATTTATTTTTATGCTGTGTTTTTATGCTCAATTTACTCGCCTGTAACATATTTTTTCTACAACTGTCAAAAAATGATGATGTTCGCACACTCATGACAGTTTGCGAAGTGACACTTTTTTTCCCAGGTATTGATTTTTTAACGTTCCCATGACGCCGTGCGCGAACTAGCTATTTCGCGCACGTGTATACAAAAATAACTATTAATTGCTTATTCACCAAAACATAATTTTCCCGAAAAAGGAATAGATTTTTTTCTTTGGTAATAGCGTAATAGAAAATACTTAATGGTAATAGATCTATTACGATTGTAATAGGGGGGCAATACTGACTACAACCAGTAACTATCCCTCGTAGGATGGTTACATGTTTGCAGCCGAGTTTTATGTTGTGTTTTATGTTGTGACGTCATAGTATGTTAGCCATGATCGCTAAAATGTAATATCCCAAGTAAATACAACATAAATAAAAAACAAACTTTAGGCGGTACGCGAGCGCGGCGGGCACAAAGGTAGCGCCATCTCTCGGGGACTTTTCAAACTGAAAAGTTTTATATCGAACTTTGCACAATGCCAAATTCAATATATATAATATTTTTTCATATTTTATAAATATTGAATTTTGCATGGGTCAAATTCAATATATATATTTTTTCAAAGTTTTATATTGTCAACTAGCTGCTTGGGAAAGGAGGACCCGGTATTCAACCTTATTAATTTAATTGCCGATTCGATCGAATATTTATTGCAATTCAGCAATAAATTAATATAAATTGCGCTACAAGCCGCAGCAAAGGTAGACTTAAACCAGTGCAAGTACCTCTCGTTGGAAAAGCCCCTCTGGAATTAAGTCTCCCCAGTGCAAGTACCTCTCGTTGGGAACGCCCCTCTGGGTATCTTCAGCCTTATCGTTGTCCAGTGCAATTACCTCTCGTTGGGAACGCCCCTCTGGACAAGGCATAAGGGTGACGATAAACTTATCTACAGTCCCCCAAGCAGAATTGACGTGTGGCCCCCTATAAGGACCCCAGTGTACGAAGGGTCATGTATCTTATAGGATTAGCATACATGTAAGGTTATATTTGGGAAAATATATAGCATATATTTTTATATAACCTGAGCGAGTTTCTCTCCATCTACCCCCAAAGCTACAAACCCCCCATGTCACCCCTGTAAAGCGGGTAGTTGTGACAATATATATCGAACTTTGCACGGTGCCAAATTCGATATATATAATATTTTTTCAAGTTTTATAAATATTGAATTTTGCATGGGGCCAAATTCAATATATTTATTTTTTCAAAGTTATTTTATATATATCGAACTTTGCATGCTGCTAAATTCGATATAAATATTATTTTTTATTTTAAATATATGCAAAATAGTGGTCATTTTTATCTATATATTGTTTTTCCTGCAAAATATTTTACATATAAGACGAAATAATTATGGAACATATGGCGCCCCATAGAAAACTTTGGAAAGGCAACACTTTTTTTCTATTATAGATAAAAAGCTGAAATTTTCATTGAATCGAATCTTATCTCAATAAAGGGACTACAATCCCTGAAAATTTCAGCTCATTTGCACTTATACTATATATATATTTTAGATTTTCGAAAATTTTGAAAGGTCATAACTTTTTTTCTATTATAGATAGAAAGCTGAAACTTCCACTGAATTTTATCCCTTTCAAAGGACTACAATCCCTGAAGGTACCCACCTTATGATTTAGATTTTCGAAAACTTTGAAAAGTCATAACTTTTTTTCTATTATAGATAGAAAGCTAAAACTTTTACTCAATTTCATCCCAGTCAAGGGACTACAATCTCTGAAAATTTCAGCTCATTTGCACTCACAGTTCCTGAGATAAAATCGTGATAAGCAATTTGGCGTGATTTATCAAATTTTCAATTTTTCTGAGTTCGATTTCAAATCTAAAAATAATTTAGTGTATGGAGTTTCGGGTATGTTGATTGACCAATAGGATATGAAATCTCGACAAAAAAAAAATTGAAATTTCATCGTTTTAGTAAGTAAAATTTAAATTTTTTTGTTGTTGAGATTTTGGTCCTTTGGGATCCCCCAAACTTCATGCACTAAATTATTCTGAGATTTGGAGCCAGATTTGTTATGTTCTTTTAATAAAACCCTAATAATACTGGTTTGTTAAAAATATATGAAAAGGGAAAGAGATGTTAAATAGACAGGGGTAACTAGGGGTGGATGAGTTACCTATGTGGAGGGGGGTGACAGTTCAAAAAAAAAAAAAAGGGTACTTCCGTTTTCAGGGCGACTGACTAGCTCTATACGATCTTATCTTATCTTAAATCAATCTTATTTTCAGGGATCGCCAGAAGCTGTGGATATATATCTTCATGGAGAATAATTATTGTGGCTGTTATATGAAATATTTATTAAAGATTTTATACTATTAGTTTCTTGATTAGTTCCTGCTTTTATTCCATGCTAGGCAAAATCAGGCAAGGACAGAGTAGTAAAAGACCAAAGGCAGCAAAAATATGTCGAACAATCTTCTAACTTGATTGACTGAAAATTAGACACGTAAAAATTAATAAAATGAGTTCAGAGATTGTATTCCTTTATTAGGATAAGAATTTATTCAAAGTTAATAAAAATTCAGTGATGTAATAAATGCAAAAAAGCACTGATTTGAAGTCAGTTAATTAATTTAAGAACTGGAATAAGAAAATTCAAATCAGCAAAATAAATGTAAAATTAACTTTAATCGAATTAAATAAAGTCAAATTCGCAAAATTAAGTAAAATTCCATTGAGTCAGCAAAAGTAATTCAAGGGAATCAATAAAAATTAGATCAAATAAAAACAAATCTAGGAAAACTGCTTGATTAATGATTAATTCATGGGAACTGTTGTCATCATATCTTAGTCCAGGGAAACAATATAGGTAGGTATTTTAAGAAGTAAGTATAGAAGAATCATAATAATACATATTTCGAATTTATAGATTTTAAATTGCAATTTTTTGAAGATAAAGAAAAGTAGAAAATAAAAGACTATAGAGAAATTTTCAAATAAGATTTTATTATTTTTCATAAAATTTTAACTGAACTCTTTTTGAAAAGATTGGCTTCAAATTTTGCATGTACTAGGTATATAAATTTTATATGTATGTATATTAATCATACTCATAAACTCCAAAAAGAAAATTTTTACTTACACTAGATTACCAAAAAATTCACATAAAAAAATCATCAAAATTTTCACACTGCAGGAGGAAACTCATTGAAGATTAAATTACAGTATCCGGTAAACAATTCAAAAAAAAAAAAAAATGTTAATGACACCTAAACATTATTATCACGGGCACTGCAAATTGTTTAAGTGTTGCCATTGCATTTGAAAAACGAAAATACAGTGCTGAAGCAAATTAAACTTTATAATTGTGCGTTCTGTTTAGTCTTATCTGAAGGATTAGACAGCTTATATCTACTACGGTAATAAACTGAATTATGACCACACAGCAATTTTTTTTTTTTTTAAATTGTTACCAAGACAAAATTCAATATTTTATATTATTCAACACACAAGACTAAAGTCGCAAATGTGTATAATTATTTTCAGCTCTAGACAATAATATGTCCACTAATTATTAGGACAAAAAGTGTTGCCAAACAAGTTATTTTTAACTAGAAACAAAATTAATGTTATGAAATTTTGAAGGCCCTGTGGAAAACAATTTAAAATAAAACTTTGTACACAAAAATCTGGAAACTGTCAATATTTTAAATTTATGTAGGTAATTCCAATAATCAATCAATAGATATTATAAATGGATTTTTCCAATTATTGTAAATTAATTAGCCATTAGATAAGTAGGTATAATATGTGGATAATTTATTGTGAAAAAAAATATTCAATTGTCTGAGTAATTGGGATTGATGATGATGTATTTGTTTATGCATTAAAAATCTAAAAGCAAAAGCTCTCTATTTGTTTAAAAGCCCACCATGAGGGTTATACACATTGACTCATTAATATTTAATTCTTGTGCTGGTGATATAATTGACCAACAGCTACAAAAATATTCAGCATTTTTACATGGGGTGTGGTTGTTTCGTATTTTTACTGTGTTGAGGTTTAATAATAGCAACAAACAAAAATAATTACATATCTTAAAATGCATAAATAATGGATAAGTTCTTAAATGAATGCAAAGCCTCAATAAAACTCTAATTAGACTAGAATAAATTTTCAAAGAATTTAGAATTAATAAAAAAAAATTTAGGGGAGACTGGGGGTAATAATGCCCTGAATAATGTGCTCATATTGTCAAATTTGCTCACTCCTGTAATAGAAGATTCAATTCTGATTAGAAATCATTAATTACGCATTAAAAAAATTAACTCAGTACCTAGTCTCGTTTACAAATCTGTGAAAATAAACTACATATCTATAAGATCTAACTTCCCACGAGATTACATATACATGTCCAAGATAAGGAGGGCCAGTATGGGGATCTCGTAAACAGTGAGAAATACGATGTGGCTCAAATTAGCAAAAAGTTGCGCAATTTTGTGCTCATTGAAATACCGCACTGATATTTGAAATATTCCGAAGGATACCGGAGATATCTAGAAAAACCCGAAATTCGCCCAAAACGATTTTATTTTTTCCTGACCTTATTTGAAGAGATATTTCGAAATAAATGACGCTTTGTCATTGCCACTTTTCCTCCTCTACAATATGACATTATCAAATTTGTAATCCGACGTTTCGTCTTTAGGCCACCATATCATCAGATCCCCATACTGGCGCTCCTTTCTTGATGGACACTATTGTATATCTTGATGACAAATAAGTAATAAAATTCTCATCACTATTGTTCGTCGATTTTTATCTGACACTTGCCGTATATGAAGAGTGAGGGGGTGAAGTATATGGTAACAGGTGTGTGAGGTGTGACGTCAGGTGACCATTAGCGTTATTATGCAGGGTGCCATTAGCTCACATTCCTTCCAAGTATCAGATTAACATCGATGAACTTTAAACAATATCAAATCCTGACACCAAAACTAACTAAAGACTGGAAATGACAGCGAACAACAACTAATAATCTGCCTGGATATAAGATAAAAATATTCACCCTGTTCCTGGACAACCCCCTATCTTCCCTGTTAGTATGAATCTATGTATATGTCCAGTTTTCGAAAAATTGTCAACTGATTATTTAATTTTGTGTATATTTTCATTATTTTCATATACAGGGTGACATTTTTAAAACTTACAATGGCTATATCTCAGGAACCAAAAAAAATATAAAAAATGGCTGAAAACAATTTCTATAGTAGGGAGGGGGAAACAAAATTATGTAATAACTAACTTGTTTTCACTCACCCCCTCACCCCCAGCTACCACAACTTAGTAATCTTAAATGACACCCCCCTACTTGTGATACCTTATCTGAAAGCTCTTAAAAAATGCTTTCCAATGGTACCCTACAAGCTAGGATTCGATGTAATTATTTTCAAAATAAAACCATTGAAATGTGAATTGAATTTTTGACTAATAATTCCCCCCTACTATAGAAATTGTTTTCAGCGATTTTTTATATTTTTTTTGGTTCCTGAGATATAGCCATTGTAAGTTTTCAAAATGTCACCCTGTATGCATTTATGTGGATTCGTATGTATGGTTGATTGAGTGTACGCCACTGGTGTCACCCTGTTTCTGACAACCCCCTTCACCTTCCCCATTGGAATAAATACAATCATCAATAGGTCTGTTTCTGCAGAAATCACAAATCAGTCGGAGTGAATTTCATTGGTTGAAAAGTTTCTGATTGTGTTCAACCAATGTATAATCGGTCTGACTGGTTTGTGATTTCTGCGAAAACACACCTAAATATCAAAAAAGCTAAAACATAAACATGTATCGACTTGCTCCAGTCTCCCCAACTATTGCGAACCAATAAAAATCGAAATATTTTTTAAAAATTCAAACTGTACCAATCAAATCTTTAGAAATTTGAAATGCTAGATTTTGACAGTGATTTGATTGGCTAGTGATTGACTTTTGAACTTCCACAAAAGAAATTTTAATACTTACGATGATAAATAATCCTCTGATGTCTGGAAAAACTATTAAATTTAACTCAAAAAATCACAAACAAATCCACAATCATAACCTCACATCAAACGTAGTAAGTAACGATTATTCCAGAGAGTATTCTAAACTTAAAATAAGGTAATAAGAGGTGGCAAGTCTATGTTAAGAATTTTATAATTAGAATATCTCGATTCTATTTACAATATCCGCAGGACATGTTCTTTCCTGAACAAGTTTATTCAACGCAATGCCTGAACAAAAAAGAATTCTACATAAAGGAATTGTACGCAGAAGTCGAAACGGGGAAAGTACCTGAAAATCCTCATATACATTTTTTACTATTAATATAGTGTTTTTTTTTATGAAAGTAACCATCTGTCCTTTGATACCTGACAAAGGTAAATAAATACAAATATTGGACTAATAGCGCCATCCGGTGGAAGGTGTACTTTTTTTGAATGTCCAAAATTAATAGAATACTATTGATTTTATTTTTCGTTCGCCTTATTGTAGATTCTATAAGGAATTTACGTTCGGTATATTGTCAAGAATTTTGCTGAGAAATAATCTCTGGCTTTATTTTATCGTTGACTCAGGGGCGTAGTCTCACCGGTGTTCCGCGTGTTCCCCGGAACACGGGCCCGGTAGCTCAAGGGGCGGTTCTACATGTCAATAATATTTTTTGTCCTATTAGGTGGAAAAAAAATACATTTGAAACTTCTTAAAAACTATTCCCTCCCTCATACAACTTTTAGACTTAAGAGTATGAGCATTGTATGTATGAGTCAGGGTAGAGCACTGATCGGGTAAAGACGAAGGGCCTCACAAAAGCGAGACGCGCATCTTCAGTGACGTCCCAAAGGTCTCGGCGCTTGACAATAATAGGCAATCCTCTTTGCTTATAATGGCCGAGTTCGTTTTTGTCATCTTTTTCGTCGATTTCCTCCGGAATTTTGACAGGCAAGTGACTGGATCGGACAGTTTTAATTTACAAATCACGTGCCTGTCAAAATTTTGGAGCAAATCGACAGAAAAGATGACAAAAACGAACTCGGCCAATAGACCTATCTCGTATGATTAGAAAAAGAGAGCTTAATTGTAATAAATACAAGTTAGAAAGCAATGAAAGATGACATGCGCGCGCAACTTGTAGGCTGCAGTGTAGCCAGATTGTATTGTTGCAGAACAAATGTAGACAATACAAATCGAACATTATAACATTAAAGAAGTGATATAGTATCAAGTGTTTTACAATGCCCTAAATCAGACAAAAGAAGAGCTTTAAAGTGTTTCGTTTGCACTTTTATTTTGATAAATGTTTCATCCGGCAACATCGCTCAATAAAATTGCAAAGGAATATGTCAAGTATAAAGCCTAGTACTCATAACTGCGAAATTCGCATTTTTTGACATTGCGTTGAGAATTTGACGTTTTATGCGTGTATCAAACGTCAAATTGTCAACGCAATGTAAAATAAATTTCGCAGTTATGAGTTTTAGGCTTAATAGAGGTGGGAAACTATCGAAGAATCTAACTAACGATATATCGATAGTAACGAATAAAAACTATCGATGTATCTATATTATGTATCGATATACCTAACTATCGATAGAAAAAGGGTATACGTTTTGGACCCAATTTGTATTTGGGGTTTCAGCAATTGACCTTTTCAATTTAGAAGCCTCTCTCTCTGGCGTCAGACTGTCAGATGCCAAAAGAGTATGAAAAGTATGAAAACAATGATTGACAGCTATTGACAATGGTTTGTTGATAAGAGTTTTATACGTGTGAGACTGGAAACTATTATTTCCTCGGTTTTTTCAAAGTTTTTTCCTAACAATGGTGATTGTTTGTAGTGTGCCTTTTCGTGAAAATAATTCCTATTCACCGGCGGACGTGTCTTTCCATAAGTTTTCATCAAATCCTACATTTGTCAAAATTTGGATACACAAAATCAGAGCTGATACTCGCAAAAGTAAGGGAAATCCACGATCCATCAAGTATACAAAGATATCCACGTTCAAGTTTAGTTTGCGGAAGCTGTTTGCTTCCCACATTTTCTTTCCAATTTCAAATTTCACCATTCTATGTCGGTCATTGTCATTCTCCATTCACTGAACAAAGATACCTAACTCATCGGTGGAGTCACCGATTAGAATAAAAACCAGGGGATTGCTAAACACCCTATACACTTGACATTGACGAGCAAGCAAATGTTGGCGGGAATCTGAATGTTTTCATACTTTATCGTCCATCAAATATATTTGTCAAATACCTGCAAAAATATATTTTGACAGGACACCGAAGAAAATGCCATAAAATAAGAACTTTGAGGACGTCTGACCCCCTTTTTGCAACGAACTAGACGTCTGACGATTTACATACGTTATCTGTGACCTTCAAACAGATAATGTGCAAAATTTCTATAAATTTTGAGCTTTGAGAAAACAGTTTAGATGCTTCTTAAAATTACAACTTTGCCCGCGTCCCAGAGCCAGCTGTCCCGGAACTGTGAGTGCTGACTGTACACTAGCATTCTAGCACTAAAGTACGACCTATTTTGAAAATATCCGCCTTGCGAAAACTCTTGCATGTTTTTGACGCCAGCTCCCCAACTAACAGGAAACATAAATAATCTTCATCTTTTTTAATTTTGATTTCAACTAACATACCATCAAAACCAAAATAAAAAACATCAAGGTTGTTTGAGAGATGGTAGGTTTCCTGATAACTTAACTTTTATGGCGTCATCTGGGGTGCCTCAACATAATTCTAAAGCCTAGTTCTCATGATGCGGAATTCCGGATTGCGGGTGCGGAATTTTTGAAATAATTCCGTTGGCGGGAAAACGTCAACTTTTTTGCGGATCCGCAATAAAGTTGAACCATTTTCAACTTTCTTGCGATTTTTTTTTCTGTCTTTGTCTAAACATTTCTCATCTTTGTTTGATTTCTACATAAACAAATAAACTAACCTCAAATAAAAAACAAAAACAATTAATACCTAACAAAAATAAATTGATCTGCTTGCTTGTATGTGCTTGTTTTATTTTCAAATACATATTATTATGGCAAACCCCTTGTTCATGCCTTTTCAGAAGAATATTTCTGAACAACATCTTCCTTTTTTTTAATATTCCTCTGCTATTCTGCTTCTTTGATGAAGTTTCATGCATATTATGGATAAATAACAAACCCAATACTAACGTATATTGGGTGGTAGTCTGAATTAAAACGAAGTACTTTGCTACTACTACAAACAGGTAGTAGTATATTCTACGAAGTATTTACTTCACAACAAAGGATTTACTAATTTCCGGTAGTTTCGAAATGTAGTATCTACGTCATTTTAAAGTAAACACTACGAAGAATATACTACTACTTGTCGTAGTAGCAGATACTTTGTTTTTTTTCATACCTCCCTCTGTCTTTTCCATTGATAATAATTTAATTGTGCAATATAATTATCCATCCAGGCACACAGGAAAACAAAAACAAAAAATATGTTAGGTTAAGATCACATGTATTTGACATAAAACCGCATCCGGAATTCCGTTTCATGTGAACCATCAAAAATTACGATTTTCAAAAAACTGCGATTTCCGGACCCGCAATGCGGAATCCCGCACCATGAGAACTAGGCTTAAATCTCCAAAAGGCACCCCAGACCAGATGACGTCATCAAGTTACCCATTACCAGACAACCTATTAACTTTAGGAGCCTCAATAAAAGATGAAATGTATGATATTGCTTGACACTTGACATTGCTGACATAAAAAAAAGACAGGAGTACTACTATCGATTGTCCAAGTAGAACTATCGATAGTTCGATAGTGTAGCAAACTATCGATATATCGATAATTACTATCGATAGTTTCCCACCTGTAAAGTATAATCTAACATAACCTTAAACGAAACTGCGGTGAGTTCAAGTAATATGTAAAGTATTAGTTTGCTCTTTGTCAAATTACACGTTGCAAAGAAAGAAGAAACGATTCATTCTGCACTGGCCCCTGAATAAGAATATGACGCAAGCCTGTCACAAACTTGCTTTTTATTGGACGCTCACCTGCAGCCTACAAGCGACGCGCGCAGTCTAGGTAATAGGAGATCGGTCTATTCTTAGTTTGTGTCAATCGTTCGTCGGCTGTCATTGTCATTGACGGTCATTGGCTATCTTTCTCAGTGTCAAGCCTAGTACTCATAACTGCGGAATTCGCATTTTTTTGACATTGCGTTGACAATTTGACGGTTTATGCGTGTATCAAACGTCAAATTGTCTAAGCAATGTCAAAAAAATGCGAATTTCGCAGTTATGAGTACTAGGCTTTATATCATATTTTTCTTCTCTTTCGTCTATCGTGTAACGATATTTGCCAGAATGTGCCAGAATAATGTGACGTTATTTGACGCATCTTTCAAACCAATCATAAACCTATCTCCATTTTTGTCCAAATATCAGACCGCCGCCAAACGGCCAATTTCTCAATAGCAAGTCACCTGTGGGTGAGCATTGCAGCTGAACACGTTTACTCTGGAGTTAAAACTAACCCGGAATTGACTCGCTATTGAGAAACCGACCCTATGAAGTTTCACTTCGATAAAAAAATTATATATGTATCTATATCTACGTCATTTCTTACATTCTTATGTAGACCTATTTTACTTATGATTTATTTTATTCTTCTATAAAAACTTTAGGATTTTACGTCACGTGTCGCATATCTTCAAAATTCATTAGTACAGCCGGAACGACTCCATAGTATGCCAGATTTGCCAACTCAAGATCCTACAATCCTTTTATTGCGCTTTGTTGTGCGGCACAGTTGTTCTTGTATCAAAACATTAATGTGAAAAGATCTCAAGCAAAAATCGACGTGTCCGAACGTTTTTTCGAAAACACCTTCATTTATTTTATATTGAATATGTTCCATACCTTAAGTTCACCCTGTATATTTGAAAAAAAGATATATACAGGATAAGTTACTAAGCGCGCGGTAGTCCGTATCTCCTATACTAACGGAGATCAAAGAAAAACCAAATACAAAACTTGTAGATAAACATAAGTAGGTACTACATTCCTAAATTATTTTACAGTATACAAAGTGGCTCAATAAGTAGTGGTGATACAAAGTTATGTTTTTTTAAATAACTCCTTCTGTATATTATGGCATTTCTGGATTCTGTGGAAAATTCTAGACATATTTCATGTACAATGTCATATAATTATCTTCAACCGATGCAAAATTAACCGTTCAGGTTATGGGTTTTACAGTCTGTCAAAGATGCAAAAAAGTCAATTTTAAACTGTCAATATTTGCGATACAGTTGAAGATAGGTATATGAGATTGTACATGAAATATGTCTAGAATTTT